ACCACGACGACGACGACGACTAGGACTAGTTTGTTGCATTGCCACACAGTCATATCGTTCCTACATCTTGTGTCTTACGGTTTGAAGGCTCCGGCCCCCTAAACCTATAAGTACAAATGTGATAGGTACCTTGATCAGCACTCGTAGCCTCACTTGTCATCACTTCCTATAAACCCTAAACCTAGACCCTAAATCCTCATCTCCTGAAAGGAGCTGTTGATGTGGTCCCTGCAGCCCAAGAGCATTTCGGATCGCCGGGCGCTTTGCTGGAACGCCGTCATGGCGAGCATGCCCATGGTCTACCTAGTGGTGCTCAAGGCTGCTGCAATCTTGGGCTGAAGGTTTAAGGAGCTCGCTGCTGCCTTGGTTTTGGAGTGGCTTTGAGTTTTAGGTTGAGGCGAATGAGCGGAGTTCAGAGATGAGGAGGTAAGGATCTGAAGTTTGCCTAAGTCGTTTGTAAACCCGAAACCCTAGACCCTACAGACCCGGTAGTGGTCAGATGGCACAGGGCCGGGGCCGCAGACACGCGCAGGTTCTGGGCATCTATGATCCCAAGAATCCGATCGTGCACCTGCCTTTGAGATTTTCCCGCAGCTGGATAGGATTTTGCTTTGGATTTTGGGGCGGGGCCTGGCTTGAATCACCAGAGTCGTTCAAAGGCACGAATCTCAGCGCTTCCTCATGTCAATGCTGCGGGCTACATCAGATGTTTCACCTCGTCCTAAATCATCCTGAAGTGACCCCAAGCCCCCTGAACCCCGACATCTGAACCCTAGACCTAAACCCCTAATTGAAGCCTAGACCCCTGAACCCGTCAATTCTCTTGGCAGCACCGGGTTCCGGATATCATGGTCTGGGATCGGCAGAAGGTGTCTTGTGCACGGCTGCGAGAATAATGTGCTTTGGACGAGTCATGAGATGTCTCTCAGGTCACAGTCAATGTAGCCTGTGACTGAGTAAAGGACATCACAGAATTCTGACTCTAACTCGCACATGGAAGTTACATCAAGCCTCCAGAACATTGCGGAGTTTCCGCTGCCAAGGAACGTGCTTTGGTTCAGCTCCATTGCATTGAATGCAATTGCCTTCAGCGCGAAGGCAGGAGCATCGCGCAGGGAGGCCGTGGCCATGTCCTTCGCCTTCATCTTTGCCCTCGTCCCGCCAGTGGCAACGGCAAACGCGATTTTTATGCTGGTGTTTCCGAGATATGTTTCCTCTGACTGCTCCTTTTTACATAAGGGCTTCGTGGTTGGCGTCGTGGTTCCATCCTCCTTCTTTTTCTCCCAGTTCTGCTCACGGCAAGCCTGTTTAGTGATCATGGGTCCGAACCGGCATCCTGGTCGCGTCGCGCGGCTGCTCTGCTTCTCCATGATCTTGGAGAGCTTCGCTCGACGGATACTGCTCTGCGGGGTGCAAGACCTTCGCTTGATTATTCTTTCGAGCCTGGTGCTAGGTGGGCAGTGGCGAAAATACATGGCAACAAGATAGGAACAACAAGGGCTGGGCTTCCTATTGTAGAGTCTTCTTTCGAATAATCCCGCTACTGTATATCACCCCTACAAACCTTAGACCCCTTTCTTCCTCAGGTGTCGGGGACAGCGTTGCGCAGATCTCCGTGGACTTGCGGGATGGGATCGTTTACTCCTGCATCACCTGCGACTAGTCCAGAATCATATTCCACCGTTGGAGGGTCGCTGGTTCCTGTTCGATTGTGGTCGTCTTCCCAGCCAGGACTACTGCATGTATCATCTTAGTCCACATGGACTTAATCTCATCTCGCAAACTTCGGAACTCTCATCCTCCATCCTAAAGCATTAATCCTATTGGAAGGCCGTAATTAATCCTATTGTAAGTCCTTACTTCTACTTAAAGCCTTAATCCCACTTAGACCCCCAAAAACAGCTCAGGTGGTGCTTCGGACTATAAGCTTTTCGAGCATCCGGGCCGACGTAGGTTGAGGGCAGATGCCCTCCTCCTGCATCTTTGGATGGCACGTCAGAAATGGTTTTGGGAGGGTTTAGGGTTTAGCTTATAGGGCTTATAGGACAGGGGCCTAGGGATACGGGCTGCATCTTTGGATTGCAGTTTTAGGCTTTCGGGAGGGTCTTAGGTTAAGGCTTAGCTTAGGTTTAGGGCTCTGGGGAGCGTCGGGTTCAAGATGGTTTGGGGTGCAGTTAGGACCTTTAGCTTCGGTAGTCCCTATATTCTGGTTATAGTAGAAGATGTCCCCCAAAACTTTTTTTTAAGTATTTAGTACCCCATGTTAGGCACTACATGAGCGAACACCTGGCCATCGTGTGCCTTTCGGGCTTTGCGGTGCCTGGTCTGTTTTGGCACATGCTTCCTTTCTGTCTTTCTGTAGGAACTTGCTTGAGCTAGGGTCAACATGCAGAACAGGCTTAGAACAGGGTTTCATAAGTGAAGATGCCTAGGAGAATGACCGAAGCATCATATGAGAGACCATGCTCTTTAAGTCTTTGGGCTTGTTATCATCTCCTGAACGCCGCTTAGCCCCCAAAACCCCACACAGCAAGTCCCAGCCTGAAGACAGGTCCTGGTCCAGGTGATCAATCTTGACCTTCCTGTCGGCTGGGTACTTTGGTCTCTGGTGTCTCTCGTCCTGCAGATGGCAGTGCGGCTGATCTTTGACCTCATCGTCTTCAGCACCGAGGGCCAGGCAGACTGAGCCATCAAGACACTTCCCTGAGGGGCCGTACTAAGCGCTTGAATGATTCATAATAGAAGCCTAAATCACTGCCAATACTATTTCTTAGGGTTCCTTGCTTACTATAAACAAAGGAGCCCAAAACCCTGTTCTAAGCATTAAACCCCGTAGATTAGTTGCCCTTGCAGTTCGCATCGCAGGATCATGAGGTCTGCGCTGAATCAATGCCTGAGTCGTTGAGATTAAGGATTTAGGGTTTACTGTCACGCGAGGGTCCAGTGTTTAAGGTTTCGTGCCAGATTGTCAGTGTTGTTCCAACCGAGTCGGCCTCAGCATAGGCATCCGAATAATTCGCAACAATGTCGCGTACACTGTGACATACCCCCAAAACACTCTTCTAACGAAGCAGGGACGTCTACGAAACTCCTATGGGACCTCTTCTGCTTCTGTTTAGTAGTGTGATTCTTACAGCTGGTTGTCAGTGTTAGTAGTGTTGGTGTTGTTGTTGTTGTTNNTTGTTCTTGTTCTTGTTGTTGTTCTTGTTGTTGTTCTTGTTGTTGTTGTTGTTGTTGGTTGTTGTTGGTTGTTGTTGGTTGTTGTTGTTGTTGTTCTTGTTCTTGTTGTTGTTCTTGTTGTTGTTCTTGTTGTTGTTCTTGTTGTTGTTGTTGTTGTTTTTGTTGTTGTTGTTTTTGTTGTTGTTGTTGTTGTTGTTGTTTGCTGTTGTTTGCTGTTGTTGCTGTAGATGTTGTTGTTGTTGTTGTTCTTGGTCTTGTTCTTGTTATTGTTATTGTTATTGTTATTGTTGTCGTCGTCGTCCTCGTCGTCGTTGTCGTTGTCGTTGTCGTCGTCGTTGTTGTCGTCGTCGTCGTCATCGTGGTTGTCGTTGTTGTTGTTGCTGTTGTTGTTGTTGTTGTTGCTGTTGCTGTTGCTGTTGCTGTTGCTGTTGTTGTTTTGTTATTGTTGCTAGTGGTGTTATTATTGTCTATTCCTATGTATTGTTCTTGTGGCTATTGTACTTGATATGATTTTTGTTCTTGTTGATTTTCTTAATAACCATCATTACTAACATCATTAGTTACTAGTTATGGTTGGTATATCACCGTTATCACAAATATTAAATTCTAAAACAAGACAAGTCACATCTGGAGGTCGGCTGCATAGCTCGAGCGCTCTTCCGCCTGACGCGTTGGCACGGCATTCCGGTCATCGAGGCAGGGTTGGGTTTTTTTGGTGTTTTATGTAGGGTTTACCGTTTTGGTTTAGGGTTTTTAATGGGCTGTGCAGTTTTTCGGGCTTAGCGCTTAGAGTTTAAGGTAGGGTTTAGGGTGCGCTTGGGGGGGGGTTCTGATTGCAGAGGGTGGGATGCCCTTTTCCTCGCTGCTTCTAGGAAGACTTGGGAAGACGGAAGCTTTCTACTTGACTTGGCGAGGTTGGTACAAACGGGAGTGTCGGAGAATAGGGAACTTGAAAATTGATCCACAAGGTAGCTCCCTTTTTGAGGGGCGTTAAGAAAGACCCCTAATTTTCTGAAATCCCCAAATATGAAAGCTGCAGGATGAGCACTTGACCCATCCGAGTACCCACTGACTTCGGAGATACGGACTTAATCCAAAAAATCTCAAAACCGAGGTTCAGGGTTTGGGAAAGTTTTAGGTTTTAGGGTTTAGGGATGATCGGGAGCGCATGTGCAAATCCCACACCGAGGTATCTTAAACAATCCTACCTCTTTGATTCCGGGATGTGGTCATGCGCAAGCCTGAGTTACTAACAGCACCGCTCCCGCGTAGTCCCCAAGGCTTGAGTCCTGAAATTTCCCCAAACTCAATTCTCCTGAGTCTAGAGCTCTTGGAACATAATATTCAAGACATATACATTAATTATGTATGTAAACATATCACGCCTGCATTTGACACATAAACATATCACAAAAATAGACAAAGCAGTGTCTTCAGACAACCGACCCAAGCGAAGCAGACGTTTCCGTCTAGAGGTTTGGCGCAAGTGCCGACGAGAGCTACTGTTCTTTTCCATGCATATGGCGCTTACAGCGGCAATGTACGGCCAATACTTCTTCAAGACCTTCTTTGAGAAGTCGTTGGCCCCGGAGGAACTGGGCATTTTGGGGCTGAGTGAGCAATATTGTCAATGTTGTTCATGCTCGTAGCAGTTAGAATAAATTTCACCCTGCTTATGTCAACACCGGCGCCTGTACCTTTCCTGGGCATAGTGGAAACTCTTGTCTAGGTCTTGTCTGCACTGCTCAGGTAGCCATTCCTCCAAGATGCTGGCATGGATGTAGTCGGGGTCCTGTGAAGAGACCCAAGGGGGATCCTTCAAAACGAGACGTGCCCGATCGAGGCTTGTACAGCAGCCTGAAAGTGTGCCCTTAGACGCGCGACTCTGAAAGCGAGCTCAAAGGAGTCTAAAGGAGCGGTAAGCTCCGTGATGGAGCTGCGGGTTAGCGGAGCAGAATTTCCACTATCTGCATGCTCGCTCAACGTACATATGATTCTAGGCGCTATAGCCATCTCAGACTACTGCTGCTAAAGATAAATGATGCTGACAATGATGTTGGCTATGCCGATTATGATCATCATCACGTATATTTTACTGTTGATATTGTTATGAATAGTAACGGTAATAATCAACAATAGCTGTTATTGTTGTTATCAGTATTGTTGTTAGTGTTCATTTCTGTTCCCGTTATGAGTTATGATATGTTGGCTACGATGCTTTTGGAAGGTCATGATTCATGCACAGCGTCGTTGCAACCGCAGTCATCGCTCTCGCTGTCGCCCGAACCGTAATGTTTTTCTTCTTTTCCATATTCATGATCAACATCAATCTTATATGACCCAGATGATCGCCATGGTCTTGATCATGGTTACCTCAGTCGTCAGCTGCATCATGAAGAGCATGCACCTTCGCTAGCACCAGCTTCATCAACAAGAGTAGCCGGAGAGCTTAAGAGTTGCTTCCTCGAATATCTTGCGCAGGCCGTGTACACGCGCAAGAAGGAGCTAGGCTGGGATGAGGCTCCCGAAGGGAAGACTGGCCTTTGCGATGCTTCCAGCTTTTGCAGAAGCTCTTGTGAACATTCGGCATGTAGAATCTAGAGCATGCATGCAACTAGTATCACTATCTAGATTTATGCATGAAGGTAGGTAGGCAGGCAGGCAGGCAGTGGCAGGTAGGTAGGTATGTAGGCAGGCAGTCAAGTCGGTAGGTAGGCAGGCAGGGAGGTAGGTAGGTAGGTAGGTAGGTAGGTAGGTAGGTAGTATGCACATGGTGTGTACACATAGAAATATATATATATATACATATATATATATATGTATATATGTATATTTATATATACAAATACACATTGCATAGAGGGGAGCTTTTGTGGATAAGTAGCACTTTCAGACCAAGGATCCTAAACAGGACCCCAACTTAGAGAAGCACTAAGGTGCCTTGACTCTGATCATCGTGCCTGCTTTCATACTCCATCAATGTCTGCTCCAACGAATGTCTGGACCCCTTCGCATGACTGTGATAGAAACACGAGCAAAAGACCGCGAGAACATCCTGGTCCCCTGCATACAGCACGTTTAACCCAAACCCTAAACCAAGTTTAGCTTGGGGGAAAATGCACCAACTGTTTAGCCGAGAAATGGGCCGACTCATAAATGATAGTAACTAGTACATAGTAGTAGTAGTAGTAGTAGTAGAAGTAGAAGTAGAAGTAGAAGTAGAAGTAGTAGTAGTAGTAGTAGCAGCAGCAGCAGCCGCTTACTAGCAGCAGTACTGCATGAGGGCGGTTTTCTGACTCAATCAAAGCGCTGGGGCGGCTGACTGACTTCGACTTGCGGTTTCGGTTCACAACACTGGGGCTCTATTCATGAGCAGACTTATGCAGTCCATCAAAAATATGCTGCATGGTGAGCCGGTGTATGAGACATCTTGCGTTCATGTCCAGTGTTCATCCAGAAGAACTCTAGACTCAGACTCTACTTGGACTAGACTGTGCGCCCTGTTAACTGGAAATTAAGATCTGAGATTTAGGTACGTGTGTGATTTCCGTATCTACAGATGGTGCATCCAGTGCCATGGCATTGCCACACAAAGTTGCAGACAACCAAGCCGTTTGCGGCCGCCATTCCACTGCTGGCATTCACCGCTATATATCTGTGTGTTGTATATATACACGTATGTATAGATTATACATCATAAGTTTTCTGCCATATGTCATGAATTAATACTCTATGACTTGACACTGCAGGGCTCAAGGGTTAAGCTGTTCTATGCTTGCGCAGGTAAGCTCGTACTGGCAAGGCGGAAGAAGCGCTAGCCCGAGTCCCCACCAAGAAACTCTTGCTCTGCCGCGCAGACTTGATTCAAAAGACAGTGTGACTTGCTGCACAAGGTTCCAAAGATCTACTAGTGATCAGAAGGGTTCTTAAAGCCGACTTTGACTTTTTGTTTTGACTTTGCTCCGTTGTCGGGTGGCGGATTCCAATCCGAGCTCTGACGTGGCGGATTGATGCCAATCCGATCCTTGCCTGTCGCGGCCAGGTCTGGCTGATTCCAATCTTTTGCGTGTCAAGCATTGTCCATGCTGCCCAGAAAGGACAGCCAGCTAACCATACACCTTAAAACCCGAAACCCAGTTAACCAAACTTCCCAGCTCCTCTCCCACCTGCAAACCCAGCCTGCAACTGCTGCCAGCACCAGCAGCTGATGCCGTTCCCGGTTGGTTGGTGGTCGCTGCCACTGGCAGCCCTAAACCCTCATAACCTATCGCGAATCCACCTTAATTAAAGCCCTTCAGTGTAGCCCTTAATCCCTTAAGTCCTAAACCCTCAACTCCCTAAAACCCTCAAGCCCGAAGCCCCCCTAAACGCGCCCTAAACCCTTAAAGAATAAACTACACCACATCATGCTAGCTGCTACCCATATTCGAGATGCTCTGTTGTAAACAGTTTTTAAGACAAGCAAACCCCCAATCGACAACGGAGCAAAGTCAACGACAAATCAAGGTCGAGTTTAACAACCCATCTGATGTGATGGATTGGAGTTGAGCGCCGAACGATCAAATGCAGTCGCAGTAATCGCTTCACGCGCTATGATTGAGCAGGCATCGTGCATCCGTAGAGCCAGTATCCAACTAGGTTTATGTTAGGTTAGTCAGTATTGTCTTGCCATCATTGCTACCGTGCCGGATTGTTTGCCCAATTCGGGAACCGAATTTACACCAAGCGCGCTGAAGGTTTGCTCTGAATGAAGATAGAACTGCCAACATTTCCTCGTCGAAAGCCCTTTACCTAAACGTCTGAGCTGCACGGCTTTCAAGGCTTGCTTGACCCGCAGACTATTTAGATCCAGTGTGCCAGTGTGACAGTGGAGAAACATAGTGCCGTTCACACGAAAGCCAGCAAGCAAGAGTCTTCAGATGATCGATGACATCGTTAGCAGCAGCATGAAGCAGAGCATGACCAGATATCAGGTTCCCGATATTTGGAAGCAGAGCACGGCATCAAAAGGAAAGACCTCGGACTTGACCCACACCCCACAAACGCTAGTAGTTCATGGATCACCTCAGTGAGTTTCAACTAGTTCAAGCTCAAAGCCTGAAAACTGAAGACCTGAGGTTAAGAGTGCAGAATCCACTTGATTCTGCAAAATAGCGCCTTCCGATGCAGCCCATTGTCCCACCGGAGACACGCGCGGCACCCGAAGCCGCACGGGCAACGCCAGGTGGGCAGTGCAGGACTATTCACCCTAAACCCGTAAGTTCATACATATATATATATATATATGGTCGCCTATAATCCGTTTGTTTGCTTATACGTTATACGATGTCACGGGACATCCGGTCGCGCCGTTCTACCGGAGTCTTAACTGTTAGGAGAGGTTCCGGGAACTGCGCATCAAAGCCGGCCAAGTCACTAGTTTAGCAATCCGTAGTACTGCTATGTAATGTTATAGATGTTTTGTTTACATTATTGACACCGTTGATGTTATTGTGCAGTAATTATGATTGGTGTCTGTGGCTGGTGTGGCTGGTGGGGGCTTGGCTGGTGTGGCTGGTTGGGCCTTTGTGGGGGGTGGCTGGTGTCTGTGGCTGGTGGGGGCATGTGTGGCTGGTGTGGCTGTGTAGCTGGTGTGGCTGGTGGGTGGCTGGTGTGGCTGGTGCGGGACTGTGTGGCATGGTGGGTGGCTCGTGTTGCTGGTGGGGGCCTGTGTGGCTGGTAGGGTGCATGTGGCTGTTTTGCGATATGTGGCGTTAAGGACCGGTTCGATCGCTTCGCTACGTGGCCAAGGAATCAGCGTTACAATCAGTTCGGTTTGCGGTACATTGCGGTTTGCGATATAAGTATTGTTGAAACAGCCATGATTATGAGCAAACCTGGTAATGCTATTATGTTCAGCTGCAGGCTCTGTGGCGGCAGTCGCAGTCATCGGTTGCCTTCAGACGGGTCGCTTGCTTACATCGGCACTTAGGGCCATTACCGCAACACTGACTCGAGCGAGTGTGCCTCTACGAAACAACAACTCTCGCAGCATCAGTAGCGCCGCAAAAGCATGAAACTCTGGACAAGAAATCCCATGTTCCACAGGTGGTGCCAGACCCACCCCTTCGGCTTCAAGATCCAGCCCTGATCTCGTGATCCTCCTGAGATTGTGCAAGGTTCAGTGTCGTTTGCTGAGCAGTTGGACAAGTTAATTCTCTACTGAAGATAGATAAATAGATAGATAGATAGGTAGGTAGGTAGGTAGATAGATATATAGATAGACAGACAGATAGATAAATAGATAGAGAGGTTGCAGGTCGTAGGTAGATAGCAATCAGGAAAAAGTAAGAGAGCAAGATATAGATAGTCAGTTGTAAACCCGCAGTTCCGCAGACATGCTTTCCGGCTCTGGGTTCAGGACTCAGGCTTTGTGGATGTAGGGTTTAGGGTTTAGGGTTTCGGCTTCCGGGATTTGAGGTTTACAGCGCTCATGCATTACATCTTGGTGGTGTTCCCACGACCCGCCCCTGTGTTCGATCCCCGAATCCGCACGTCATGCGTGACCCTATCGAGCCCAAACTTGTGGAGTTCTGATAGTCTGGTAGAATGAATAGCGTACAGTCGTGGGAGATGCATGCTGGTACCCGTACGCCAAGTCGGCTGATAAAAGTGGCTCCGAGGCTAAGATCCCACATGCTGGGATGCTCTCATATATAGCCATAGCCGCACCACCCGTGGGCATTTAGGGTGTGGGGTTTGAGATTTCAGATTCAGGCGTTCACTACTACCATGTTTCGCAATT